CAGGTGCTGTGTCAGAGTTAATGGCGTTAAGTCGAAACCATTCAGTGTTCGCACCGGTCTCCGCCAAGGCAGCGTCCAGTCCCCTCTCCTTTTCGTGTTGCGCTCGGACAGAATAGTCAGAAGTAGCCTAGGCGATGAGTGTGTCAGGGTGGGTGCTGTCTGTAGACAACCTTGTTTTATTGCTACCTTCTGAAGCTGATCTTCAGTGCTCCCTAGAAAGGTTCGCAGCCGCCGAGTGCGACGTGACCGGCATGCGTGTGAACGCATCTAAAACGAAAAGTCTAGTGCTTTTTCGTTCTCCTGTCCGTATTTCTCTTCAGATTAACGGAGAGACAGTAAAGCAGGTGGAAAAGTTAAAGTACCTCGGAACTATATTTACTAGTGATGGACAGTTGGAGGAAGAGATCGACCGGCGAATTGGTGTAGCCAGTGGGGTTCTGCGTGAACTAGCGCGACCCGTTGTGACGAAAGGAGAGCTCGGTCTGAAAACTAAGCTCTCGGTGTTCAAGTCGATCTTTATCCCCCTGCTTACCTATGGTCCAAGTAGTAGGAATTTCGCCTTCATTTCTGAAAACAATCGCAAGACGTGCCCAAACCATCGCAGCTGTGAAAATCTAAAAATTTAGCAGCTGTGAAAATCTAAAAATGTAGCAGCTGTAAACCAAGGCTTTCTCAGATGCCTGTACTTCGGACCATATCGAGATGCGTGAGCACAACGATTCTTCTCAGAAACGCTATTTCAAATGGTTGGACCCGGTATCGAAACTTCTCAGTCATGGCCCACGACTCATGACTATAGGCGAGTATCGGGATGAAGATCGACTCAAATACAGGGAGCTTCTTCTTTAGAGTTAACTCTACTTTATTCACAATGGTTCGGGTTAGTTCACTCGGAACGCCGTTACCCATTCTATTTGCTGGTCGATCTCTTCCTCCCACTTTCCATCGGTACTTGACGGGATAAGGAGGGACGTGAACTTCTCCGTCCGTTCATCTGCAGAAAGCAGCGCGTAGGAAAACGAGAAAGCACTAGGCAATTCATTTTAGATTCGATCACACTCATACCGGCGGCATGGCACTTTGCGAATATTCCTACAGAATGCTGGAGATCGGTTTCGGAGAATGCCAACAAAGCAAGGATGTCTGCAAACAGCAACCTTCTGGTCTTCAGATCTTTTTTGTTGACACTCTCGTCATCCTGGCTGCGCTTGACTAGCTCATCAACGTAAAGCACAAACAGGAGAAGAGGCAGAACGCAATCAAGAGAGAGACCAGTACCGACGCTGTAAGGTCTCAACCTAGCGCCGTTTATTCTGACACAGCACCTGCCATCAACATATGGTGACTGGAAGGCTCGTACTAACTGGCTGTCGGCCCCATATGTGTGCAGACATTCCAGTAGCTTGTTGTGTTGCATTCTGTCATGGCTTTCTCCAGATGCACAAAGCATGAGTGGACTCACAGGATATCGCAATTTTGTGGCGTAAAGCAAAGATCTGGTCACAGATGCTTCGGCCTGACCTGAAACCATACTGTTGTTTTTGTGTCTTAGAGTTATTTAATCCCCGGATTTCCTTTCTACCATATTGGTATAGACTTTTCATGGGAGGCTCAACCAGGCAATGCCCTGATAATTGGAGCACTCTACACAGCTTCGATTCTTAAGTAACCGCAATAAAACCCGCTTCTCCAAATCATCGGTGCTCACTGCGTTACCTTTGCAGTTTGACACACACATATTAGCCTCAGCATACCTTCTTTGCCTAAAGATTTTAGCATCTCAAATAGGAATTCATCGACTCCAGCAGCATTGCCACCTTTCAAGCCTTTTGCAGCTTCTGTGACTGAAATCTACTGAAAGACTAAAACCGTGTCTGTTGCTCATCAGGCGAATCTTCCTGCTGTTGGTCAGGGTTAAAGAGTTCTTGAAAGTGCTCTCTCAGAAGTGCTGAAGAGAGTTCCTAAAGTGCCGAAGCATGTTCCTCATTTTTGTAATGGTCGTACAGATTTGTCCTTTAGGACTCTTAGACTGTCCTTCTTACGATCTCGAATGTGCAATAGTGTGACAGAATACCTTGATTCCCATCTGGAAATTTGATTGCTGCATATCACAGAACTTTCCTAAGAATCGGCTTCCGCTTTGGAAACTGCTTTCCCGGCTCTCTTGCGTGCTTCTTCGAACTATATTTGAGTTGAAAGCTCATTGCTTTCAAGCCATTTCTTGAATACAGCCGTGCTCTCGCTGACAGTCAGTTGAACCGTCCTGTCTAACAGGAAGCTCGTTTTTGACCTTCAACGGCCGGCCAACTGGTTTTAAGCCGCAACATTAAGCAGCAGTCGCAAATATACCGGACTTGAAGGTTCCCACTCGGTTTCTCATCAGCGGTCACCACTGGTATTCGTTCAAACCGTGGTGCGGCGCAATGCTGTTTGCAGGTATTTTCATCTTATCAGCAGAAGAAAATACTTCTCGTTTGATTCTCTGGTTGCATCTGTTGTCAGGTCTTCCGATGTTGCTCCACTGCTTACAGCGGAAGGTCCCAACAACAAGATGATGATCGGCTCACACCTTTGCACCTGTTTTACCGATAACATCCATTACCCAACATCGTAAGCCAGGAGACGATTCGATTGTCAAATCGATAATCCACTTCTGTGCACAAGGTTCCCTATACCACGTGTACTAACTCACGCTTTGGAGTTCGAAGAAGGTGTTCATAATAGTCAGTCTGTTGTTTCCAAAAAGCCGTAGCAGTTTCACGTCGTTGCTGTACGGGTCTGTAGGGTTATTCTTTCCAATCACTTCTTTCCACGTTTCAGTGTCTGCTCTGATGTACGCGTTGAAATCGTCCACTGGAATTACGGATTCCGTAGTCGACACTTCGTAGAGAGCACCTTCTACTTCCTCCAGGAAGGTTTCATATTTCTCTCAAAGTTGCGCACACAGACCGGTAACAGCGTCACAGTTTTGGCCTCTTGTTACTTCTCGATAATCGTCAGTCTTCCGTTGATGAGCTTCCATTGAATATTTCTGTCAACTAGCTTGGGTTCTTTCAGCATACCAACATCGGCCTAAGAACGCGTCGTGATGAGATTCCTGGTAGAGTTGCTTCGACCCGCAGAGGCTCAGCACTCCGGCATTCTGGAGCTTCGTTGACTAGAGTTTAAGGCTGTCCAGTTGGTACCTGGCGATCTCATTAACTAACTTCTGTTTATTCCCTCTGAGTGAGGAGAGGCTCCAATTTCAAATTGTTAACTTCCATTGTTGGCATCAATCGCATGAAACCTTATTTGACGTGCTGCAATGGCACCGCGCTGTGTTGAGAAGGTACAGCGGCTCCGTTGCTGACTGCTGTCAGCTTCATCTTCTTGTCGATCTTCAGCGGCTGTCGCTTTGCTGTTACAGCCATATCTGCCAGATGGGCAAGTATCAGATTACGATCGCTGGCATTGCCCAGTCCATCTCAATTCGCAACGGCCAGTTCGGCCCGGTAACTCAGGCATTAACGGGATCGGTAACGTTCAGTGAGGGCAATACAGTGAGGAGATGGGCCTAAGTTTGAGGGAAGACTTCGCAACGTTTCCAACTCTCCGGCATTTTCATACGCGCTTGGGGCTGGCGACGTCGGAGGTACAAATTGAGATCGTATGTAAGTTAAATTTTGATCTTGATGTCTGGAGATGTCTTGTATCTCGATGCGTTCCAGCAGTTGAATCGACAAGTTTCAACCGCCAGACAAAGTTTTTCATCTATTTGTTTATTCTGAAACGCCTGATTTTTAGAATAAATAGTTACCAATTGGTTACTTGCGCAGGAGGTTAACTTAAATTTAGAATAGTACCGTTTATCGTATTTTACATCACCAGATGGAGCAACGATTACGTCGGCAGGTGCAACCTGGCGGCGTTATAAAAGGGTGTTGTTTGCTAAGGATAATATGTTTGCAGCTCAGTTTGAAGTTCTTCCGCGACCGCAAACGATGACCTGTTTACTGCTTCTGCTAGCTTTCGCCCTTCAGTTTAACCCTACTAGCGGACAAACAGGTAATGTTACAATTTCTGTTTCCATTTACTTATGGAATGTCATAATTACATTCTACTGAAGAGGGGATAGTGTTTACTTAGTTTACATCATGGTATTTTAAAGAAATGATATTACTGTTTGAGAATTAATTTTAAATTGAAATCCTACATAACTCCGTCGTTGTCGATTTGTTACATAATTTTTTAATTTAAGTAAAGTAATCCGTAGCGCTAGAGAAGTAAACTGAAAATTATTTAGCTGCATTAAAAGTAGTTTGCGAAAACCATAATGATGGCCTACTAATTCATTGCGCTTCTCTTTTTTGACAATGATCATTTTCCATATATGCAGGCACGTTATATGCATTAGAATATAGCCAGTACCCATCAAACGACATTAAATTCGCGTGGAACTCAATACTGCCAATAACTGAACTACAGTTATCCGTGAACCTCAGAGACAGATTAATATAGACCAAGCCTGAATCGCTAGATTTTCGAGAGAAAAAAGAGTGCTACATTCCTTATGCTGTATTACAATATTAATATGGTAGGACGAATGAATACGGTAGATTGGCCGGTTATGAGAACATCATTGCGTATAGTGTCCACAACTTATTTTGGCCGATTAGTCTACGACGGCCATGCAATCAGATTCAAGAACGGGATTATGGTAAACAAATGAAAACACCAATAATGATCTGCACAACAAAAACTGTACATAACGGCGGTCTTAACGTTCACTGAATCGAACCATCAACTCGGTTGCACATTACGCAAATCAACAGACGCAACTGAGTGATCGTTTGATCATTGAATTGTCTCCGCGTTCCTTCCCGATTGGCCTAATGGGGATGTCAATAATGACTGAGAGGACTTGCTGGATCGGCGTCAGCCGCACCTGATTACTGACAATGGTTTGATTGGCTGCGTGATCA